GAGCGAACTATTGGCGCTTTATAAATACTGTATAATAATAATAATAATAATGTATCCTTTATACTAATCCAAGTGAGATTTGAAGGTATTCTCCTGACATCCCACATTCACATTTACCCTATTTGCAACTAGATAAAGCAGCAGTGTGTGGGAAAGATCACTACCTCCTTTCATGTACTTGCTGTCACCAAAACCTGCCTTCATGAATCTGACACTGCTTCTCTCTCCCACGATAGTCTTCTCTGGCATCACTCCCCCAGATCCAGTGGATGCAAGGGAGGTAGATTGGGAATCCTCCAATCCCCACAGAGCACCTTTCCGATTCTTCACTCTCCTCCCTCTGTCTCTCTCATCCTTCGAAGGTCAGTGTGTATGTCTATTTTCTCCAATTATTTAAGAATTGCTGTCATCTACCAGCCCCCTAGACCGTTATCAACTTTCCTTGATTACGTCTTTGCCTGGCTACTCTACTTTCTCTCTTCTGAAATTCCCACAATCATTCTCAGGGACTTCAACATCCCTATTAATACTAACACTCCTGCTACTCCTAAACTTCTTAGTCTAACCTCCTCATTTGACCTGAAACAATGGGAACATGCTTCTACTCACTCTGAAGGCAACACCCTTGACCTTGTATTCTCCTACCTATGCACTCTGTTCAACCTCTTCCACAATCATTTTCCTCTGTCTGTTCACCACGTTATTAGTTCCACTCTCTCCCTGTCTTCCACCATTTCTCCCACCAACCGTCTAACAATTACTCGTAGAGACCTTCATCGCTTTAACCCTTCTCTTCTCCACTGTGCTACTGACCACCTTTATGACAATATCTCACCCATGTCCATCCCCAATCTAGTCACTTCTATCTACAATAGATCCCTTTCCTCTGCCCTGGACGAGCTCGCCCCTCTCATTACACACAGAATCATGCCCAGCCCCCACAACCCTGGCAAACAAGCAATACCAGAAGTCTCAAAAAATGTAGTCATACTCTTGAGAGTCTGTGGTGTAAGACTAAGTCTCACAAAGACTTCAACCGATATAAAACTGCCCTCCAGAAATACAACTCTTGCCTCCACACTGCCAAACAGATCTATTTTATCACTCTCATTAACACCTTCTCATCCTGTTCCTTCAACTCTTCTCTACCTTTAACTATCTTCTTTGTCCTCTTCTGCCTCCACCCACTAACTCACTCACTACCCAGGAGATCGCCAATCACTTCAAAAATAAGATCAATGCAATTCGTAATGAAATCTCCACTCTACAGATAACTCTCTCACTTAACACTCCATGTCCACAGGTACACTCAACACTACTCTTATTCATCCCTGCTACTACAGACGAGGTTGCTAAGCTTCTTTCTAATGCCCACCTAACCACCTATCCCCTGGACCCTATTCCCTCATAATTACTGTGGTCCACCCTCTGGCTCTATCCTACACTCTCTAACTCACATCTTCAATCTTTCCCTCTCTTCTGGCACCTTTCCCATGCACTAGTCACCCCCATACTTAAAAAGCCTTCCTCGGACCCCACTAATCTTAACAAGCATTTTTTGCTGGCTGATAGCTAAAAAGAGTGGGAAATTTGAGTGGAGAGTGACAACGTTTTACTTTGGACTACTGGTGATTGCTGGTGCTTGTAGTTTTAATTTGCTAAAAGCTTTTACTTTTTTAAATCACTTTTTCTGTCACTTTTTAAATAGCATTTTTTTCTTCCATGCCTTGCCTTCCTTCAGTCTGCTAATTAAGGGGAGGGGATAATTGGTCACAGGTGCTACAGGTACTATATAACTTGCTGTAGAGCTCACTCTGAGCTTGCCTATATTTTTGCTTGCTGGACCTTCTGACCAAGTGGGCATTCAATAAGTGGAGTTAAAAACAGGAGGAGATTATAACAGGAGTCTATTAACCTGTAAGTGACAATTGATATTTCCCTATTAATATTGAAACTGGGATATGAGTGCTAGCAGGGTTGAAGGTTTTGTGCAGTACACAGTGTGCCACATGTATGCAAAAATGGAGCAACAGCTCCAGGATGGATACCGCTGCGACAGATGTGAGCTGGTTGCCCTTCTGGAAACTCTCGTTAGAGATCTGGAGAAAGTTGCAACACTGGGCAGAGCTGACAACCTTGAAAGGGGTCTTCTGCTCTCTGAGCAGGTAGCTAATGGGATTGATGTTAAGGGTGGAGGGGCTATTCAGGATTATCAGGTAGGAAGGTGGGTTACTGTAACGAGAGGGAGTGGTAGGGGCTCACAGAAAAGGAAGGCCAGCCTTGGATTTGTGCGCCCAAACAGATTTGCCAAGTTGGGTGAAGATGTGGGGGTGACTTGCTCAGGGATAGCAGCCCTGGATGTCACTGCTAGAGATGAGCGAATCGAACATGGCGAAGTGGAATTCGTTTCGAATATTGGGAAATATTCGATTCGCGCCGAATCCGAAAATTAGCAGACTTCGGATGCGCGAATCAAATTTTCCAAAAATGGCGGCGACATGTGTGGCGACGGAGCGGGGATCTCTGGGAAGGCGCGCAGACAAGGCGCGCTGACCCATAATGCATTCATTCATGACATGTGATCGCATTAGCCAATCAGCAGCCAGCCAGCCAGCCAGCACTGTGTAATGGTCGAGCTATAAATTGCGGCCATCTTACAATTCTCCATTTGCCTCCGGTCATTCAAGAGAGACAGACCTCTCTGTATTAGGGACAGAGTTAGGGCCACAGATACTTTAGGGACACAGAATCGTTACTTAGGGACACAGAATTGTTACTCAGGGACACAGAATTGTTACTCAGGGACACAGAACTGTTACTCAGGGACACAGAATTGTTACTCAGGGACAGACACAGAATTGTTACTCAGGGACACAGAATTGTTACTCAGGGACACAGAATTGTTACTCAGGGACACAGAACTGTTACTCAGGGACACAGAACTGTTACTCAGGGACACAGAACTGTTACTCAGGGACAGACACAGAATTGTTACTCAGGGACACAGAATTGTTACTGAGGGACACAGAATTGTTACTGAGAGACACAGAATTGTTACTCAGGGACAGACACAGAATTGTTACTGAGGGACACAGAATTGTTACTGAGGGACACAGAATTGTTACTGAGGGACACAGAACTGTTACTCAGGGACACAGAACTGTTACTCAGGGACACAGAACTGTTACTCAGGGACAGACACAGAATTGTTACTGAGGGACACAGAATTGTTACTGAGGGACACAGAATTGTTACTGAGGGACACAGAATTGTTACTCAGGGACAGACACAGAATTGTTACTGAGGGACACAGAATTGTTACTGAGGGACACAGAACTGTTACTCAGGGACACAGAACTGTTACTCAGGGACACAGAACTGTTACTCAGGGACACAGAACTGTTACTCAGGGACACAGAACTGTTACTCAGGGACAGACACAGAATTGTTACTGAGGGACACAGAATTGTTACTGAGGGACACAGAATTGTTACTCAGGGACACAGAACTGTTACTCAGGGACACAGAACTGTTACTCAGGGACAGACACAGAATTGTTACTGAGGGACACAGAATTGTTACTGAGGGACACAGAATTGTTACTGAGAGACACAGAATTGTTACTCAGGGACAGACACAGAATTGTTACTGAGGGACACAGAATTGTTACTGAGGGACACAGAACTGTTACTCAGGGACAGACACAGAATTGTTACTGGGACACAGAATTGTTACTGAGGGACACAGAATTGTTACTGAGGGACACAGAATTGTTACTGAGGGACACAGAATTGTTACTGAGGGACACAGAATTGTTACTGAGGGACACAGAATTGTTACTGAGGGACACAGAATTGTTACTCAGGGACACAGAATTGTTACTCAGGGACACAGAATTGTTACTCAGGGACACAGAATTGTTACTCAGGGACACAGAATTGTTACTCAGGGACACAGAACTGTTACTCAGGGACACAGAATTGTTACTCAGGGACAGACACAGAATTGTTACTGGGGGACACAGAATTGTTACTGAGGGACACAGAATTGTTACTCAGGGACAGACACAGAATTGTTACTGAGGGACACAGAATTGTTACTGAGGGGACACAGAATTGTTACTCAGGGACACAGGGAATTTGCCCTTGAAAGGCTGTCATGCCCGGCCAGTAGCGTGGCATCGGAGCGCGTGTTTAGTGCGGCAGGAGGTATTGTAACTCCGCGGAGGACACGACTGTCCACCCAAAGTGTGGAGAGACTCACGCTTGTGAAAATGAATCAGGCGTGGATTAGTCTGGATTTCAAGCCACCAGTTCCTGACACAACTGACTAAATCCGCCATGAATCATGCCCCAAACATGTTATTATTTTTAACATAGGCCTCTGTATGGCCTTCAATTTAAGCTGCTTACGCTTCGCCACTCTGCCATGGGCCCCTGTACCGCCTCCTCTTGCTGCTGCCAGGTCCAGAGTGTGTCATGGGTCCCCTGTACGGCCTCCCATTGCTGCTGTCTCCATCGCCACACTCTGCCATGTGCCACTTTCAGGTCTCCTCACACTGCTGGTGGGTTCCATTTTGTCATAGGGTGCTGGCAGATTACGGGCCTCCCATTGCTGCTGCCAGGCCCATAATCTGCCATGGGCCCCTGTACCGCCTCCTCATGCTGCTGCCAGGTCCAGAGTGTGTCATGGGTCCCTGTACGGCCTCCCATTGCTGCTGTCTCCATCGCCACACTCTGCCATGTGCCACTTTCAGGTCTCCTCACACTGCTGGTGGGTTCCATTTTGTCATAGGGTGCTGGCAGATTACGGGCCTCCCATTGCTGCTGCCAGGCCCGTAATCTGTCATGGGCCCCCGTACCGCCTCCTCATGCTGCTGCCAGGTCCAGAGTGTCTCATGGGTCTCTGTACCGCCTCCTCATGCTGCTGCCAGGTCCAGAGTGTCTCATGGGTCCCTGTACGGCCTCCCATTGCTGCTGTCTCCATCGCCACACTCTGCCATGTGCCACTTTCAGGTCTCCTCACACTGCTGGTGGGTTCCATTTTGTCATAGGGTGCTGGCAGATTACGGGCCTCCCATTGCTGCTGCCAGGCCCGTAATCTGCCATGGGCCCCCGTACCGCCTCCTCATGCTGCTGCCAGGTCCAGAGTGTCTCATGGGTCCCTGTACGGCCTCCCATTGCTGCTGTCTCCATCGCCACACTCTGCCATGTGCCACTTTTAGGTCTCCTCACACTGCTGGTGGGTTCCATTTTGTCATAGGGTGCTGGCAGATTACGGGCCTCCCATTGCTGCTGCCAGGCCCGTAATCTGCCATGGGCCCCCGTACCGCCTCCTCATGCTGCTGCCAGGTCCAGAGTGTCTCATGGGTCCCTGTACGGCCTCCTCATGCTGCTGCCAGGTCCAGAGTGTCTCATGGGTCCCTGTACGGCCTCCCATTGCTGCTGTCTCCATCGCCACACTCTGCCATGTGCCACTTTCAGGTCTCCTCACACTGCTGGTGGGTTCCATTTTGTCATAGGGTGCTGTATGGCCTCCCATTGCTGCTGCCTCCACCGCCACACTGTGGCTCCACACTCTGGTTTTGGCCCCGTGACTGCCCAAATGAGTGAAGTGTGCGGTGATTCTAAGATCGACAGCACTCATCTGCATGTCATACTGACTGACAGTATTATTTCTCTTCCCCAGCAGACTCCAAGGGCATTTAAATTAAGGGTACAGTTTTCTGCACTAATATAAAGGCTCTCTGAAGCCTAGAAACACCCTTTTTATAAGTTAATTTCGCAGCGAATATATTCGCCTCGAATCGAATTTATTCCTCGAATTCGCTGAATCAGCCGAATCGAATTTTTGAATACTTCGCTCATCTCTAGTCACTGCTATCCCTAACAGCCGGGATGGCACACCATCTGGGAGGGGTGGTGAGGGTAGTGCAGGAAGGCCTAGACAGTTGGTGGTAGTATGAGATTCTATAATCAGAAGGACTGATATAATAATTTGTCACCAGGATCGCCTCAACTTAACGGTTTGCTGTCTCCCTGGTGCCAGGGCTCGGCATGTGGTGGACCAGGTTGATAAATTACTGGGAAGGGCTGGGCATGACCCAGCTGTCTTGGTCCATGTTGGAACCAATGACAGAATACATGTAAGGTGGAGGCTCCTTAAGAATCAATTTAAAGAACTAGGCTGCAAGTTGAAGGGAAGAACCTCCAAGGTGATATTCTCTGAAATATTACCTGTGCCATGCGCAGCTAAGGAAAGACAGGTGGAGATTAGAGAACTCAATGCATGGTTATGAGCAGTTTTAATGAGGAGGTGGAGACTCAGGTCCTTGCACAGATCAAAAGGGCTGCAAGGGCTGGGAGAGTGATAATAATGGGGGATTTTAACTACCCGGAAATTGACTGGAGTAATGGTACTGCAGGAACAGTTAAAGGGCAAACATTTTTAAACCTACTACAGGGCAATTTTATGGTACAGTTCATAGAGGCCCCACCTAGGAATGATGCTCTGCTGGACCTGGTAATCTAAAACCATGCAGAGCTTATTATGAATGCCCATATAAAAGAACATCTGGGTAGCAGTGACCAGAACATAATTTAATCTATTGTTAGCTGTAAACAGCAAGCACATATGGGAAAAATAAAAACGCTCAATTTCAAGAGTGTTAATTTTCCAAGGCTGAGCGCTGCTTTCTAAGACTTAGACTGGGAGGGAATATACGTCATCAACACATCAACACAACACAGAAATGGGAGTTCTTCAAAAAAACTGGATGTGAACACACTGCAACCAATCCAAACATTGTTATAGCGAAAGATAAATGCATTGTTTCATTTGTTTTCATGTGGATGATGCCATATTTTTGAATTTGTTCGATAACATTTAAATTCATTGTGAATCCCAGCTGGTTGTTAAGGAGCAGGCGGCCACCCTGTCCTTAACAACCATGACTCAGATTCAGTCAGATTCCCAACTGATAGCAGAATGTAAACCAAAGTGTCGGTTAAAAAAAAAAAAATTGATAGATTTGTGTCTTTTTTTTTTTTTAGCCTGACTTTCTATGTTATAATATGGAATACCTTTCTATAACAAATTTGCCAACAGATACCTATTGTATACATCCTCAAAAGCTTTAGTTAGGTCTAGTGAGGGAATTTTTAGCTGGGATAAAGGTAAATATGTTCTAACTGTATGTATCTCTGACTTTTGCCCATGCATCTTTATACAACTAACATCATGACCTTATCTGTCATGTAGCTTACTTAAGCTTAATATCCGCTGGCAAAAAAGCATTTAGAAATGACATGTCCCTTGCCTGACGATGCTTTTCCTGAACCTTATAGTTGAACCTATCGACATTCTTCCTCTTAAAAGCCTGACCTGTATAATTTTGTGCCACAGTAAAGTGAAGCGACATTACAGTCCAGGGTAGATTAAAGAGGGACATGCCATCTCAGTGCTATTCCTGTCTGAGCTGATGTTATTATTTTCTTTTATGTGCGGGTCATCAACTGGAAGACGTGCATTACTCTATGCAGAAAGTTTAGTCTCAGCTTTCGACTTTAATTGTCCCATACTGTCAGTAATCCTTAATCAACCTAAACTCTCTTTGTGTACTTTAACAGAAAGATCAAACTACTAACATTTAATCACAGTGCACCAGTATTGTATTTGAACAACAGTGTCAGTATGCATAACATGTGTCCTCCTGAATATACCCAGTTCATGTATTTTCACACTTTTTTTTGTCTCCTCTGCTACATTAGAGTTCTAGCCTGTGCTGACACGCCAATTTTGATGAACAGCCCTGGAATATGGGATTCAGCAGGATCATTAATCTTGCCATGTGCTGCCTTCTGTAAGTTGAAGTGATGGCACAGATGCAGTGTCTCCTTCTGCAGCAGAATTATTGCTGTTGTTTTTCCTGTCTTGTACAAGTCTGCTCAAGAAGGACTTAGTTCTTGCAAGCTTCCTTTGTGACAGCTGTATGTAATATGAAAGTCTTTTTGATTCCAATTCAGACAAAGATTTTGTGATAACCACATGTCTCTGTATTCTGTGATCTCTTCTTCAACAGATCAAAGTTGAATCAAGACATTAGTGGTGTATTTATAAAAGTATTGCAGAGCTACAGTATTTGTCATTTGAAACTACATTTACTCTGTGCAAATAGAATTGCAAAATTTAATGTTTTTCAGCTATTTTATTTCCAAGTCAGATGTTATTTATTCATACAAATAGAAAGAATCAGGAAAATTCAGCATTATGGCCACTAGATGAAGCTGATTATCATAGGTAACAAATACTTATTTACTATGATTGGTAGCTTCATGCAGTGGCCATAATGTAGTATTTTTCTGGTTCTTTTTATTCACTCTTTATGTAGTAAAGATATTTCCTAGATTCTGCCTAATGGTAAACAATTTACTTTGTGGCAGTTTGTGAATTTCCAGACAACGGGCATAGTCTATATGATGAAATGCCCATATAACTCAATTTTATATAGGAAAAACAAAGCACATGTTCTGGAAATGGATCCTTGACCATGTGAACGACATAAAAAGATGGAGATTTTACAAACCCAGTGGCTCACCACCATTTTGCAAAATGTCCTTGATGGCATTAAATAGAATACATCCCCATCCAAGGGTTGGGAACTTTGAGAAGAAAATCCTACAAAAGGAGAGTGGGTGAATATACAGTTTAAAAACCTGTAAAAGACACGGATTGAATGAACAACTCAATTCCTTTAAACCTTGGAATATAAGGTTTGTTCATGCACTCATTCTGGTTTCCAAATTCTTAATTGGTAGTAAAATCTGCCTTGTGATATTTACCTACAACTAAGCTTATATTAAAGCTTACCTGTAGGTAAAATTAATATCTTCTAAATCTGCACTATTTAGGAGATATTCACTGTTTTTGGCAGCCGGCGCATGCTCACTGAAGGAATGGCATACCCCTGTCATTCCTTCACTGTGCTGTGGCCCATGGCATACGCCAGTCAGACAACTGGAGCTCATGAACCCAGAAGAAAGACCAGGGGAAGATAGAAGCCCCGTCAGTGGCTTCGTTCTAAGGTAAGTATTTCATAATGTGCTAGTATGCAATGCATACTAGCACATTATAACATTGCCTTGCAAGGGATTTTTCCTTTTTTTCTATCCGAGTTTACTAGTGCTTTAAGCCATTTTTTGAGTGAGTCCAGATGGTACTTTTCGGTCATTTAAAAAAAATAAAAGTAATCTTCAAAAACTGTGGCTGCTGACTTTTAATAAAAGGACACTAAGCTGTCCAGGGATCCAGCTCTGGCCTCACCTGAACCAGTTCTTTGCCGGTCTTCAGGTCCCCGGCACCAGCATGCTGACTTTCGGAAGACAACTGTGACATCTTGCGGCTTCACAGCTGGCTTTCCGCTGCGCATGTGTGAGACAATCTGTGCCATGTGAATGGTCCTGAAGCCTCCTGGAACCTGTGAAGTAGGAGTGGGTACATGTCAAAGTTAGGTACCCACTCTCTCTCCCAAAAAAAGGTTTCCATTAGTATCCAAGAAGGGATTGAGGAATAGAAACAGCAGAACTTCTGTTTTCACCTGGTGTTCCACCTAATTATGGTGTCCTTAAATATATATAGGGATTTCTTTGGTATTTTGTATGTTAAGGAGGAAATAAGTGAACAGTTAAGGTATGGGTTGCATACCTCACAGTCGAAGTACATGTAACCCAATTTATTTATTTGTTTTATACATTTTTTTTTTTCTCTTTTCCTATAGGGGTCCATGTTTTGGTGGGTTTATGGGGCGTTGCTCTGTGTCCTCCTTGCACCTCCATGATATGTGTAATTGTGTTGGCTGATCCCATGATGAGATAGCTGACTGGTCGTATGTGTGTGTATATTTGTCCACTAGATGGTGCTGTTTTATTTTCTGCTTTGAGTGGTATTATGGTACTTTGTACTGTTTTGAGGGATTGGCGACTGTTGCTTATGCAGTATAGTTTTGAAGTGTAGGGTCAGCTTTGATTGTTTATTTAAGTGTAGGGCTTTGCCTGGGATTCACCCTCACCCTTTCTTTGAATGTGGTCTGGAAGATGTGCGCAAGCATGTTCACGTGTCAATTCCACTTCCAGAGAGGGAATGGAAAGGAGTTCACATCTGTATTTTCATAAATACACCATTTGTGTCTTGAAGCGACTTTAATCCTTTGGAGAAGAAATCAGTCTGTCTGCTGAAACCATTTGCAAGGTCCATATTTAAATTTAGATTGCTTTTATACAAACCTGCTTTATTGAAGTTTTTAGTTCATATACACATTCAGTTTGTTTTCACATTAACAGTTTAGTTGTATTGCATTCATTATCTTTAGATGTATGAAATTACAGGTATATCTCAGTCACAGGTTAGATGCATGCTCTGCACCTTTAAAATTCTGCACTGAGATTTCTTCATGGGGTTAAATTCATCAAGCTTCCTTAATAGAATTCCAGGTATGGATATTATTACATAGTTACTGTTCTGTCCTACATGTTTCCCTGTGTGTAACTCGACATGCAGCTGAACACTCCTATTCTGCAATAAGACAGACTGACTGAAGCTTTATTACCAAAATAGGATGCATGAAACTATTTGGAAAAACAGATGATAAATAAATACATACAGAAAACACAATAAAATGATTAGGCTGTATGTGACAATAAGTACATGCTCACCAGCGATGTTGCGTGTAGGGAATGTACGTT